AAGCTTCTTAGCATAGAAACAAAGATGTACCAAAATTCTACTGGTCCTGTATAACTGCATCTGTCAACATTACCTCTCCAGAAAGGTACGGTGTAATCCACTGACTGAATCTGTAATCCCTCCAATGCATTTTCCTCAATTCCATGCCTCATGCCTTTGCACACACAGTTTCATCTGCCTAGAGTGTCCACGCTTTCACTGCCTCCCCTTGCCCCATGGCCTCATTATTAAATGCCACATGGCTCAGTATATTCTCCTACGCCCACAGTTCTTGTCTTGGCTGTGCAGCGGATGGAGAGCTTTGAAAACAAAACTGAGGCATGGCTACCATGCCCAAAGATTCTTATTTAGTTAGCCTGGCTTCTTTTTCTCAGCATAGCATTTTTGAGATTCATCCATGTTTTATGTATTAGTAGATTGCTTAAGTAATTACTGGGTTGGTGGTAACTAAAGAGACATGTTTGTGGGTTTTTCTGAGTAATTAGTGAGTATACATGCTGTTGAGTTAGAGTAGTTGCTAGATTCCTTTTGCCAATAACGCTATATTGAAAGCAGTTTGAAAATTAAGTATGTAGATGGATCATTTGAAATAAAAGTTTAGCAAATAAAATTGGTTGTTTGAATTCAACTGATTTAAAAAAAAAACCCAATTGTTTCTCTGAATTATTTTTTCAAAACATTTTGGAAATTTCTGTGGAAAGGTCATGTACACAAGACATTTATAAACTACTGATTCGGGCTTCCCTGGTGGCGCAGTGGTTGAGAGTCCGCCTGCCGATGCAGGGGACACGGGTTCGTGCCCCGGTCCGGGAAGGTCCCACATGCCATGGAGCGGCTGGGCCCGTGAGCCATGGCCGCTGAGCCTGCGCATCCGGAGCCTGTGCTCCGCAACGGGAGAGGCCACGACAGTGAGAGGCCCGCGTACCGCAAAACAACAACAACAACAACAAAAAACTACTGATTCTATTTCCTTCACATAGGAAAAAAACAACATTTATTTAAGAAATTTGGCTCTCAGGAGTGTCTGAATTCTTGTCCTGCATAAAAAGGATATGAGGCAGTAGACTTGGCTTTGCCTCCGGAGGGCCTGCTTTCAACTAGAGTTGGGCACTGGAACCAAGAATAAGATGGAGAACAAGGGGACCCCCAGCAGAATGTGGGGCAGCCTGCATCACTGAAGCATAGGTCATATGGGCCAGAGCAGAAAGGCAGAAGCCAGGTATGAGTGTGTGGGAAGGGAGACCAGAGTAAGACATCTCAGAGTGGAGGAGAGGAGAGAGCCCCTGGGGTCGTAGCTACAGGCCCTTCGTAGACAGCTGTGACTTGACTGTGAGTGGGTTGTGAATTGGGAATAGGCTCAAAGTGTTTCAGCTATTCCTGTGGAAAAAAAATCAAAACAGCTGAAATGGTAGCAACAACCAAACACATAACTAAATGCCACTTTCTAGAGTGGAAAAAGAGGACTCCTCATATCTGGAATGATTAGTAGACGATCAGGGAAATTTTTGAATAACAAGGGGAAACCATCTTAAAAGCATCCAGACAGAAAATGCAAGTTACCTGCAAAAGAAAGAAACTATCCTGGCCTCAGTTTTCTCTTTTTAAAAATGAAGGGCAACGGGAATGGAGCAGCATCGACATCGTCATGAAGGAAGGGGCTGTACCTAGCACAGTTCTTGTTTATGTAGGGTACCAGGAGAGATTTCCAAATATGCAAAGATTCAAAAAACATTTCACTCACTTGTACTACTGCAAAGAAAATTACTTGAAAATATGTGTAGCCAACTGAAAGATGACTAAAATGTAAGACTTTATGAGAAAGTATGCCATAAAAGATTGACGATAAGCATCAGTGTCAGTTAAATATAGAAATAGGTCAACAAATCTGTGGTAGGCCACATAGGAAAAGATAATTTATAAAGGTTACATTCCCTTTCTACAGTGTAAAAAACCAAGTCAAAACAACAAAAAAACTTGCATAAAGAGCCTCCCCAGCAATGTGTCAAATGCCTTATAAAAAATTACATCCTGTCATCCAATAATCCTTTCCCTGAGCTAGCCTAAAAAACAATCTGTGATACAGACAATATATATGCAAAGATGTTCGTCACATCATTATTTATTATAGTGAAAATCTGAACCTAAATATTCAGCAGTTATAGAATGGGTACCTAATTACACATGCATTTGAAATAACTGGAGAAAAATCATAAGGCAGAGTATGGTGTGAGATAGGCAGGCATCTGTTCACAAAGGATATTGACAGTGTGATTTTCCTGGGCTTGCAAACTGCTGATCCAGCCTACCAGCTTCCCTGGGCAAGGCCGTCCCTCTTTCACACTTAAAATCTCTACTCTGGGAAGGAGTGTGCAACAATCATGCCTGTTTTTCCTAATGGCTAATTCAAACCCTGCTTGTAAAATTCTCCCCAACAGTGAATTTAAACTGGTTCCAGTGTTCATTATTTTTCATCCAATTCTGTATATCCAATCCATCTAGAAGGAAATACAAAGAGATTGTTATTGAGTTCTTCGATCACAAAATCTTCACAGGAAGGAGATTTCCAGAAACAAGGGATTGAATAGTATTGGCACACAAGTACTTATTTATGTCCAACAAGTATTCACTGAAAATTATTTGAATATATCTGGTGAAGAGAATGTTGTATCAGTAAAGTTTTGAGAAGTTCCAGAACTGGTGTGGAAAATTAAATGATTGTTTAGCAAATGTTCATTCACTGCCCAATGCCCCCACTTCTTTGGGAGGAATATCTTCCCTGTATTGTTGATGATGGGTTTGGCTATGTGACTTGTTTTGGCTGATGGGGTGTTAGTGAGATGAAACTAGCAGAGGTTTGAAATGTGCTTGTGAGTTTGGATGTAGTCTTTTGACTTTTGCCATGAAAATTACATGCTTGGGTAGCCAGCCCGAGAGGAATGAGAGACCCATAGAGTAGATCTGGACCTATTCTACAGTTGGCACCAAACACAGCCAACACAGTCCAGATCAACCAAATTCCATCAACTTGAAGATGTGTGAACAAGAAATACATGCTTGTTGCTGTAGGTCACTGAGTTTGGGGATGGTTTCTTATGCAGCATATAGTAGCAGTAACAAACTGATACAGTTTTGTCTGTAAACTTGGAGACAAAGCAGTGAATTAAAAAAATATATTGTGAAAAATATTAGTACTTGTCAAAGATGAATATAACGTTACTCAGGAAAAAAAATTCAAGAGTAATAGTCAAGTATATTCAGAGGCTAAGCTCATGAGAGATGGAAAACAGAGGAAATAAAAAAAGAGGTTATTCAGAATCTTAGCGCCATGAGCAGTTGAGTGGTTAAAACGCTTGTAACAAAACCCTCTAAAAGTTGGAAGGAAGTGGAGTAATACACATGGTCTATATTTTGACCAGGTTGCTTTATATGTTTGGGTCTCTGTTTTATCTTCTGTGAAAGGGGAGAACAACAGTGGATAAGCTGTTTCAGGGAGAGGCCACAGCAGTGAGAGGCCCGCATACCAGAAAAAAAAAAAAAAAAAAAGAAAGAAAGAAATACAATTTCTGCTCCTCATGGTTCAAATCCAGAAGGAAAGATAAGATATGAAACATTCCCACAGCAGTCTGTGAGTTCAAGAATGGGCAGGGACTATCTTATTTGTTGTGGCATCCTAAGTGATCCAGCATCTAGTAAGGATTCACAATTCTAAGGAATCAATCAGTAATTTGCACATAGACAACTTAAAACAAAGCTAAGCCTTACACCTGTTTTTTTCTTATTTAATCCTCACAACAGCTCGCTGAGGGAGCAACTATCAAATGATGAAATTGAGGGTTGGAGAAGCTAGGGGAATTGCCCGAAGCTACACAGCTAGTGTACGGTAGTGTGTATCCAGAATTCAGGTTTTTAATCACTTTTTTTCTTATTATTGGGTTGGCAAAGAAGTTCGTTCAGTTTTTAACAAAACATCTTATGGAAAACCCCGAATGAACTTTTTGGCCAACCGAATATCTTATTGAGGGTTACAAGTTGTAAAAAGATATAGCTAAATTGTTGTAAGGGTTAAAGAAGGAAATATTCCAACTAGGGAAATCAGTAGAGGCATCAGAATATAGATGATTGCCCTGGCCAGTGTAGGATGGAGACAATTCTGAGGGATGGAAGCAGGATCCAGACCCGTACTATCCCGTCACCATGAGCACGTGTGAAAATTGAAATTTAAATTCATTAATGTGAAATAAAATTAAGAATTCAGTTCCTTAGTTGCACTAGCCACATGCCAAGGGTTTCGTGACCACATGTGTGGCTGGCTATCATATTGGTCAGCACAGAATCGCAGAGCATTTCCATTCTCACAGAAAGTTCTATTGGAGAGAGCTACTCTGGACAGAAGGGACTATAAAAACCAGTTTTCGCAGTGAGAAAACAGCAAAGGCAGCAAGAAAGCAAAGTTCAGGTCTGTTCAAAGAAGATTAAGGTGTTGAGCTTGGTAAGAGTGTAAAGTCCACATCAGTATGTAGAACGTGATAAGTAAATGCCAGATATATTTTGGATGATCTTGAATGCCAGTGAGGAGAATTTATGTGCCTGGAATGCAACAAGAAACATGGAGGATTTCTCACCAAGGAAAAAATATTATTGGATCTTTTCTGGAAGTGGTTCATAGATCTAATGAAATAGTGAGAACCAATGGTTGGAAAACTGATCACGAGGCTATGGAGCTTGGGATGGAAAAGCTGAAAGGATGTGAGAAATTTAAGGTGGAACCTCTATGACTTGATATTCTGAGGAGGAAGGGAAAAAGAAGTTTGAGTAACTGGGAGAACAGTGGGGGCATGGTCAGAAATACAGAAATCAGGAGAAAGATGGGTTTGTTTGGAAGGAAAAAAGAGTAACTGCAGTTTTGAACATGTTGAATGTAAGGTTCTTTTGAGACATTTATCTGGAAATGTCCATGAAGCACTAGGAAAATTTTCCAAATCCTTTCCTTATTTTCACAGAAGAATCAATGGCTGGCCTGTGAAGATGAGACAGAGGAAGTCGTCACTGGCAGGAGGACCAATATCCAAAATGGCAGGAGTGGCGTCCAAAAAGGTGCCAAAGTCAAGAGAAGCAGGTATGAAAGTTGAAGTAAAAAGCCAAGATTTGGGGCCATGACTAAAGTAGTCTAGTTTGTCCCTTACAGCTTTGGAACATTGTACACTTTTTTAGTCCTGCTGGTTTAACATCATTCCCCAAATAGGCTACTACTAGAAAAGTTCCTAAAAGTATCAACTTCACATTGTTTGCTAACATCTTAGATGTTTGTGATAATACAACAATACCTTTAGTGTCTGTGAAGTGTTATCAGAAATGCATATAGGATTCTCCTAAATTTTTCTATGGACTTTCTTACATGATACAAACTGTTGGTATGTTTCCTTGAAGCAAAAGCCTGGTAAGAGTTATAAACTATCAATCCTATTGTTTCAAATATCACAGAGAATCATGAGGGCTCCCTTCACCTTGGTGTTAGTAGATTTCAAGATCCCTGTAGTGATTCTCTTTCACAAGAATTTTCCATGTTCACCATTTAGATTTCATTAGTGTAATCGGTAGTGGAAGGAAGAAACCAACAATGTAATTTAAAAGAGAAAACAGAACCCAGTTGGTAAGATAAAGTTCTATGTATTTGTCCAGCTTCATGAGCAGCGACAGGAAGAGGTAAAGATCTTTCTGTCTTTCAGAAGATATTTCAGTCTTTGTCACAAACTGAGACGAGGTACTTTTGACAACCAAGTTTTCAAGGAAAAATAATGTAAGATAAAAAGATTGGTACTAACTCAGAATTTTGAAGTTTTACACAGTGGATTCCTGAACCTAAGGAAAGTTTTCTACCAGACCTCACTCTGTATTATTGAATTTATAAATGCTGATTTTGTTCAGTGATTTAGTTGTTTTAAAAGGTTAAATGCTTGTAATTTATACACTTCCCAAGGCTGTAATTACCAAAAAGCCATTGAAACTCCTTCAGTTAGAGAATTTTTAATGAGTCGATGCATGATCCTCCTCTGAGATATCTTGAACTCAAAGGGAAGGAAGCAGGTGCAAAAAACCATGAGAGAGGCCAACTGAGTAACCTCTAGTAGAATCAGGATTGAAATGCATACGTCCCAAATCTCAGTGGCTCAGAGAAGCAAGATGGACTTGACAGCAAATGGAAGATAATTAATAGGAAGAGGAAACCTTGATGGTGTTGAGAAGCTAGTCATTAGCTATAGCAATTAAGTGCAGTTGTCATTACTCACAAAAGGGTAAGATATTTTACACAAGCAACAATTATTCAATAAAAGATAATTTTCTCTCGTGATTATGGTTGTGTGATAGGTTGTGTGCCATAGATCAGCTAAGATAAAGTGAAAGTGAGTAATTGTCTCAGCAGCTGTATTTCAAAGCACATACCTTCTACCACAAGACTAATGTTGACAGCATCTATCCAATCCCACATATCCAAAGGAAAAGTGAACACATTTTACTCTCATCCCAACATGTGGTCTACACAATGTTAAACATACAGGTGCCTGAAAAAGGCTGTTTTTCATTTAAATAATGGAGAAACTAGAATTCTTATATCTTTAGTATTTTGATCTGAAGTCGGGCTTTTCATTTCTTACCTTAATTCTAACAATATAGTTAAGTGAAGACTGAAAACAAGAACTTACAGAATTGCTCTAAAGTGAACTGTATTTGCCCATTAGCACAACATGTAATTGAAAGTTTTTCTTGACTGCACATAGATAGCTGTGAATATGCCATAAAAGCAAAGATGAGCAATTACGATAACAAGGTAGATTTAGTTCCATGTTGAGAGTTCATGTGTAATAATGCTTATGTAGCAAATTACAGGGAATCTATTCTAAGATTTCTACAAAAACTTCAGAAACAATTTTTGGCCTTTTATAATCTATTTTACTAGCTTTAAATAAGTAAATGAATTATGCATCGACACATCTTGAAATGCTTATTACAGTATTTTGTCTACTTTGTTGAAACGTGATTAGATAAATCAGCTTTGAGTTCCTCTGATTTATGATTTCAGCTGTTTACAAATTAAAATTCATTAGAAATGGGGCTTTTTTAAAAATTAATTAATTTGTTTTTATTTTTGTCTGTGTTGGGTCTTCGTTGCTGCGCACGGGCTTTCTCTAGTTGCAGCAAGCGGGGGCTACTCTTTGTTGCGGTGTGTGGGCTTCTCATTGTCGTAGCTTCCCTTGTTGCAGAGCATGGGCTCTAGAGCGCAGGTTCAGTGGTTGTGGCTCACTAGCTTAGTTGCTGCGCGGGCATGTGGGATCTTCCCAGACCAGGATTGAACCCGTGTCCCCTGAATTGGCAGGCGGATTCTTAACCACTGCGCCACCAGGGCAGCCCTGGGCCTAATTTATATATTGTAAAATCAGATTTAACTATCTACATGCCAGCTATTATAATAGTAGTCTTGATTTTATAAAAGACTCTTGTATGGTGGTAAAGAGAACATCATATGGAAGAAGGCTGCCTGAGTTTGAATCCCTGCTCCTCTAATTATTAACAATGAAACCTTGGTCAGGTCATGCCTAATTATGCCTCTGTTTTTTCCCTCTGTAAAATGAGCATAATAAAAGTACTTACCTTACAAAGATGTACCAAATTAGTTAATATATGTAAAACCATTAGAATTGTACCCATTACAAGGTAAGAACTATAAAAGTCTCACCTTATATTATTGCAGCTCTGCCTCATATCATACACAGCTGGAGGCCAATACGTGAGCAACAAATACAGGAAAAAAGATTGCAAGAAGTTAGATTTTGATACTAATAAAATAAAAATCTTATAAGATATACTTTGTAAAAAAGATTTCGAGAAAGCTCTCAGCTACCAAAAGAAGCACTATATCTAATCATTCAAATAACTTATTAAGACTAATAATTCCTTCCCTGAACTATTTATTCACTAAAAACCTTTCCTTTAAGTTTTTAAAGTTTTCACACTTAAAATTCATGAAGACTAAGTTAAGCTGACTTACTTGAGAGTTTCTATTATATTATAAAACCAGTCATATGAAGAATAAAAAAGAGAACTTTAAATAAAGCAGTGGATAATATCCAAACTTTTAATTAGCTGTGATAATTGGGGAAAATGTATCCTGGATAATTAATGTTCACAGAAAAGTCTAAAAGCTCATTTTATTTAAGTCTCTTCTGTTTCCAAGTTTTTAATTTATTTTTGGTTGGAACTGCAAACTAAAAGCAAAGATACAGCTACTTCTCTGTTTTATACTTTTCTACCATAATTTTTATTAGCAAAGATAGAAATGGCCAGGAAGTAAAGCTATGTGAGTTTTCGATGGTCTGTAATGATTGAATGATCTCTGAAATACATTCAAATTGGCTTCTGAAAACAAAGTTTGGGCTGATACAGACCTTAGTGTGAGTCTTGGCTATGCCATTTAACAACTATTTCATTTTGCACAGATTATTTAAACGTTGTCAGCCTCAGTTTCCTCCTATGTCAAATAAAGATAATAGTATTTATTTCTTACGATTGAGATTTAAATTAGATGATACATAAAAATACATAGTACATTTCTTGGCATAAATAATTCAATAATTGTGAGCTGCTATGGTGGTGGTGATGATGATGGGAATGATGGCTATTGGTTCTGCTCCACTAGCGCTTTGATCTTTAATCACTGATAAGCTTCCCTATTCTAATGTTTACTTCTATTTCTCTAAGTCTTCTTTCTCCTTTACAGGACCTTTCCCTATGTACCTCTTTTAAGTAAATATTCCTCAAAGATCTGTCTGGTTTCTATTCAACTTCTCACAATGCAATCTCTCCCAAGATATCTAAAATTCTTTACATCTTTAGATACTTTTTTCAGGTGGTTCAAAGGCCCTCTCTCTGGCCCTGACTTGTCTCCTGAGTTCCTCATCTGATTGGTACACTTCACAGAGATATCCCACCATTATTGCAACCAGTGATGTGCTGGTAAAGGCTCTCAAGAAAAATTCTTTGTAAGCATTTGCTAATTTCTATAGTGTAAATACTCTCATTATGACCTCTTTCAAGCTACTATCTTAACATCATTGAATGCAGACTTGGGAGAAGATGTGCGTGCTGGCTCCAACACAGCACTGGACTTTCCCCAACTTGTAATGCCCCAAATCAAATTCACCATCTTTGCTCCAGTCCTAGTTAATAGCACTTTATTCACCAATTTATCCAGGCTAGAAACGTCAGTCAGCCTTAATGGAATATGAGGTATTCCTCAATTGTCTTATGCATACCCCTGTGACTTGGCTGGTGCTGCCGGCTCAGACTGGACTGTCTCACGTACTCATTGTGGAAACTCTTCTTCAAGTCTGAGCTCAAACATTGAATCCTTTGAAAGCCTTCCTCACTTGACTCTCCAGTTAGAAGTAGTCGTTTTTTTGCTCTGTAATCACACTAAGCGTTTTTTTTAAGTAGAAACATCTAGAGTTGGTTCATTAAAAGCAAACCCAGATTTCTCAAGGTGAGTAAAGAAAGAAGGGCTTCACCTGTAGGCTGTGAAGATGGATCTGAAGTTCTGAGCTCTGATTCGCAGTCATTCACCTTCCTCTCAGGAGAATTTCATATGGGTTACAGCCAGCAGTGTGGGGACCTCAACAGGGATTCTTTCCCTTTAAACGTCTCAGTCTGAAGATAGATTTTTTACTTTTTTTCCTTAATTCTGTCAACACAGTCCAATCAAGACTGGAACTTTAAAACAAAGCATTCAAACAAACTCAAGAGAAACAGGAAGGAAACAAAGGGCAGTCAGACCATGTGGCTCACTCCAACTTGAAGGTTTGAGCTTATAAATAAAGCTAATCTTTCAAAAGCATTCATTTATTTTTAGTTTTTGTTATGCTAATTATAGCCTTCACCAAATACAGTATAAACTTCTATCTGCTACGACAGTGTTTTACTTGTCTCTAAACCGCTCATGCTGTAGCACTGTATTATGTATAATACACAACCTAACTCAACAATTTGTGAGCACAAATCATGAATGCATGACATGAGAACTTTGATTTCAAAGTTTAGCTTGAGAAGACTGTGACAGGTA